CCACTTCCTCCTCCTCCTGCCCACTGCAGGCAGTCAAGCCCCAGGATCAATCCAGAAGGCTCCAGGGGGCAGTGGACAGACACTTTGGTCCTCCCTCTAGTCGCCTCCTTTCTGCTCCCTGCCCTTCTTGCTGGTAGGTAAAGACACCAATAGAAAGGCTGGGCATTCAGACTCCTAGGCCCTAGTCTCCATTCACCTCTGACTTTGCACAAAGCCCTGGCCCCTTCCAAGTCTGTTTCTGAATGGAGTCACTGGGATGTGGTGGAGCGAATTGCCTTCGGCCCCTTTTATAGATCCCAGATCACTGCACTGGACACCTTGCATTATAGTTTGGCGGCTGGGTTTGTTTTCTCGTAACTCTGGGTGTGTATGTGGTGTGTTCATGTGTGTTCATGTATGCTGGTTGGCCAGTGAGCCCCAGGGATCCACCTGTCGTTGCCTCCCAGTGTTGGGCTCACAAGCAAGAGCTGCTAATTCCTGACTTTTTTTTTCCTTTCAATTGGTGTGCCTTGTGTGTCCAAGTGCCCACAGAGGCCAGAATAAAAGGTGTTGGGGATTGGATCCCCCAGGTTTCAGGTGTTTGTGAGCCACCTGATGTGGGTGCTGGAAACTGAACTCTGGTCCTCCAAAGGAGCAGCAAGGACTCTTGCTGCTGAATCTTTTCTCCAGCCCATTATCCCTTTTAAACAAGAACCGTGGGGTGGAACACGGGTTTTTATGTTTGAAAAGCAAGCACTTTACCAACTGAGCTATTTCTCCCCAGCACTCTCAGATCTGATTGCTTAAAGGATAAGTGTCTTAGCCACATAGACATGCAAGCATCCTCTGCAAATCACAGTTTGACAAGGGAGTGGAAATGGACTCCATGCTGTGCTCAGCCTTGGGTGAATCCACTGTGGAGATGCAGATCCCTACTTTGTCTTCCCAAGGCTATTGGCAGGAGAGAGCAAGGGTTGCCCCCGACCCAAGCAGGTATGGCAGTAACAGAAGAACCTCTAGTCCTGTGCATTTTCTGATATCATCTTTTGATTGTGGCATAGGAATGGGCTTTGGAGGCAGAAGGTAGATGCGGCATTCTCTGGGAGGCCTCTGTATACTCCTTGCCAAAGCTGCAGAACCCACAATATGGGCACGCACCTCACTACCAGCCGCCAAGGTAAACAGAGATGCCTAGTGCCCACCCAGAATCCACCCACTGCAGGCATGTGCACCTTGTAAAGAAAAGCGGGCTCCTACGCTAAATGCATGTGGTCCTTGCTGATTAATCCACCAGCATGCCTTATTTCATGACAGTCTTACACATAGGTATCATCCTATGCTTTCAGGGAGTTCAGAGTCTAGCTGAATGATAAAACACCATGTGGAGAGATGGCTCAGTGGTTAAGAGCACTTTCTGCTCTTACAGAGGACCTAGGTTTAGTTCTCAGCACCCACATCAGGCAGCCCACACCTTCCTGCAACTCCTGTTCCAAGGGATCCAATATGGTACAAGTCCATAGACTCAGGCACACACACATATCGGTAGTAGGTAGGAAGCTAGATACCTAAACACCATGTAGAGCAGGGAGAGAGGGATGGTGAGCACCCAGGAAGAGCAGGGCCGAGAGAAGTGAGTGGGCTGCTGGCCTAGATGACACAGAGAATTTGGAGAGTACTGGGTTCAACTCACAGTGTCACATGGAGAGCCTGAGAGGAAAGCGACCTGCCCAAGGTCACACAGTCACAGGCTGGTAAGTAGCAGAGTAGAAGTGTAGACCCTGGTCCTCTGGGCTAGGTGTTGTTTGATGGGGAAGCTCAGCCAATCACATTCTGTTTAGGGTGTGGCCCCCTGAGGCCAAGAAGTAAAGATAAAAGCACCCAAGTGCTCTCGCCCCTCCTCTTTGCCCCCCCTCATAACCCCCCATGCACTTCTGGTGTTCGTTGGATCCTTGGTTGTGTAAGTGTTCCTTTTCCCCAATTATTAAATCTTTTGCATTAAACTGGTCTGGTTAATTCTAACGGTCGATCGATCATGCCCATCAGTTGTTTTTGACTTTCTCTGCAACCTAGGGAAATGTAGAGCCTGGGAAGTGTGGGATGCCTTGGGGTGGAGAGGAAGAACCAGGGACCAGCCGTGGGGGAGACAGCAGTGAAATTGCTGGGGCAAGCTGCGAGGACGAGGGGCAGGATCTGGAGGGAGGGAGTGGCACAGAGCAGGAAAGTTAGACTGACAGCTGTCGATGTAGAAACATTTTAGGCCCAAGCCAGCTGTGGAAATAGGGACACAGGATGTTCTTAGAGATATGGCCCCTCCAAATGCCCTTCAGGCCACCTGTCAGGAAGACACTGGGCGATATGGCCAGACAGTCTGTATCCAAATGGCCTTGGCCAAGATGCTTCTGTTCTCAGAGCCCTTGTTTCTCCACCCCCGAAGTAGCAGGTAACTTCTTCCTTCTCAGGTTTACGGTGTGGCGGAAGATCACATCTGCACACATTCTGCAAGCACAGAGCACACAGCAGATCGAAAATGTGCAGTAGTGTTTGTTTCTCCCCACTAGCTTCAACGTGGGCTCACGGAGGTGGCCTGGGTGAGCAGAGCTCACACTGCAGGGGTCCACAGGTGACAGAGGGAGGCCCAGAGAGGGTGGGGGAGAATGGGGGTCAGTCTTAGAGGTCTGTCTTCCTCTGACATCTCGACAAACTAACACAAAGGAACCAGTCCCATCCACATGACTCAAGGTCTCCCACTTGTCCTTTCTCAGGTATTTGATTGATGTCCCCTCCCGGACTGCCACCACATGTGCCTACCCATTAGGGGACTTGCTAGTTCCTCTATACTGTGTCTAGCCTGGGACTCCTCCCTGTGTCTGTTCAAGATGCCTGTGTGGGCTGTTGAGCCGGCTCAGTGGGGAAAGGAGCCTGCCATGCAAGCCTGCCGTTTGCTCTCTAGAACCCACTGCGGAAGGGGGCGAGAACTGGGCTGTCCTGTGATATAGTCTTGCATGCCACAGCACTTGCACACTGTACACAGAGATAAATAAAAAACATAGAAATCAAGGAAGAGGCACTGCCCAAGTCTGGGTGGCGACACATACTTGTAATCCGAATACTCAAGAGACAAAGCTGTGAGACCCTGTCTCAGCAGGAGGGGATGAAGGAGAAAAGAGGACAGAAAAGAGGAAGGCAGGATGGGAAAGAGAGAGTCTCTCTCTCCGCTTCCTGTTCCAGGTGTTTCTGGGTTTGCAGCCAGTCTCTCCGCTCTCGGCCTCCATCTTCGCCTAGCTATCCCCCTGTCTCCATGTCTCTCCTCTCTGTCTAAGCACACCACTTTTGAGGTCAGGATGTCTGAGCTTTGTGACATCTGCAGACTCTTCTTCTCCCTAGCTCATCGTCACAACGGTGGGTATGGGGACGCACAAAGGGAGACCTGCACAACCCGAGCGAGCCTCGTTTGTTTCCTCCCAGTGCAGTACAGGGTGTTACAGCAGGGACAGGATGCCTTTCCATTTGGGCCTGGACAGGGCCTCCTAGAACCTCTTCTCTCTCTTGGTGGTACTATGAAGGAGGAAAAGGTCTCCATTAGGAGATCTTGTTAGGGGCGGGGCTGGGGTTCACCTCTCGTGACTCCCTTTCCTTCCCAACTATGTCTGTTGTGTAACAGCGTCCTCTGAGAACAAAACGTTCCATCCTGTAAAGAAGCGCCTTAAACATGAAGGTAAATAACCCCAAAACAACTTCAGGAAGTCCTTGAAACTGATCAGAATCACTAGGCCCCTCCCTGCTAGAGTAAATGATAAAAACAGCCTAGCTCTCAGACAGAAGTAAAGCTGAGCTGTAACGACTCTGAGACCAGTCCACTGCCTAGAAGAAAACAGAAACCAGCTGAGCTACCTGGCAGGGGTTTAGACCAGAGTCCCTTGGAAGGACAGTCTTGAACCTGTTGAGCCACTGCCTGTAGGCTCTGCAGTGTGCCCCAAGTTCCTAGACTTTGTGAGCTGTCAGCCATGCTTGAGTGGGCCTTGCTGACACAGCTGTCTTTGTGTCCTTCCTGTTGCTATAAGTGACTTCTTGCCCATTCGCCTGTAAGGAACCCGGTAGCACTCACTGGTTCCCCACTGGGCTTTGCTGGTATCTATAAGCTGAGGTCTGTAGTAGGATCGCTGTCTAGTGTGGTGTCTCTCCAGCAAGAGTTTTGCCACACATCACAATCTGACCACAGCTATCTGAACAGGGCCAGTTGCGCTCCCTCTGGTAACATCTATCCTTCAGGGTCTCTCTCTCTCTCTCTCTCACTCTCTCTCTCCCCCCCCTCTCTGATAAGAAGACCCCCTCTCCTAGAGAAGGGACTTGTGAAAATTATGCCTCTCCCTGCTACCCCCGCCCAAGTCTTGGAAGCCAGGGGCCATATGTTTTGTGTTCTGTTTTGAGAGCACAGAGCCTCAAGCAGACTCCGTGGGTCAGGGGCACAGTGGCTGGAAGTCCCACCCGGTGCAAGGATCATGTTCTGACAGTAGCACTTTGAGAGGTGGAGCACAAAGGACTGGCCCTTGATGAGTGCGTGCGGTTGGGA